CCAAGCTCAGTACGCCTACTGCTTCCGAACAACGCTTGCCCAGATCTGCAAGGCCCGAGCACTCCTCGGGGTGAGCAGAAGGCAGGGGCGGTTTTGGTCCTTTCACCGTGGCGCAAGTGGAACTGGCAAGGGAGGGGCAGAGAGGAAGGTTCACGGCACACAGAAATGTTCTGGCCCATCGCCTGGTGCCACTCTTTGCACTTACCTTTCCACAATGAGGATAGCTTTGGGCTCATCAGCTTTACATCAGTCTTCCTGTTGAAACAATAGGTGATTTTCAATTTTTGTAAGGAAAGACAATTAAATCGGTAACACTAAAAATAAGCTGTAGCAGATTTCAAAGGTGCTACTTTAAAAGCTGAGCTCATTACCCTTAGAGTGAAAATATGACCTACTCTTAGGTTGCCCTACGGATCAAATAGTATAGCTGTGATGATAGCTCAGCAATGTAGTCTGGCAAAACACTCAGGGAAAGGTAAGATCTTTTATTCATGAAATTTGAAGAACCCGACAAGTTTTTGAATGTACAGACTGTTCTTACAGAGGAAAATACTAAATCAGACCACACAGTTAAAGAAAACTATTTCTCTCCCCTGAACATGCACGAATGCAGTTAACAATTCAGCAAATGTGACAACACACTGATGGCATGGTATTAAACACCTATTGGAAGAGTTGTTGAGAGACATATCTGCATTTGGTCTCAAATAGCTGGAGATAACACTAGAGCCCTCTCTCAAAATCTTCAGACTTATTCTGATTTTCTTATATTTTCCTATATTGCAACATGACTACATTGCGACATTCAACCTCTTATGAGACTTGCTGACTCAAAGCAAAGGCCATAATTGAAAATACAGCATTACTAAGGCTTCAGATTTCTTCTCCTTAGCGACTCTTCTATCCATCAAGATGCTAAGTGTTTCTAGCCAGTAATCAAAACTGCTGAAGCTCAGTCGTGTTACCTTACCAGAATTGATCACTGGAACAACGAGAAGGAGCGTCTCGTTCTTATCACGGATTGGTCCCTCCTGATCTGCAAATACAACTTCATCAGCCTGCAGTGCCAGCACGTGACGAGGATTTCCCTCAGTGCAGTTGATACCATCTCTGTAGGAGAGTTTGAGTTCCCACCTAAATCCCTGAACAAGTAAGTTGACATAGTAATACTGTAATGTTATTGTAACTCTTGCGTTGTTCTTGTAAATAGTTTGAGCTGTCAACCTTTGTCACTGACCATTGGACAAGTTTGAGAATTCTTCCTTTTCCTCATGTGACTGTGCAAACAATTACTGAAGCTTCATTAGAAGACCTCAGAGTAGCTGCCCTTTTGCTGGGACAGTTAGTAGTTACATTAAAAGCGAGTTGCTCAAGGACTTTCAAGATAAAATGAATAGATTTGGGAGCAGAAGTTCATTGGCATTATGTAATGCAGGGAGTAGTAGCAGTAGTAGTACCACCTTAGCATTACTAGAAAGCCGCATGTAAATGTCAGGTCATACGTAAATGCAGGCTATCACAGGCAATACAGTTCAGGCCTTGTGTCCTAGGTGTCTAATGAGCTTCACCTTTTTGCACTCAGCTTCTAAGAACGTACCTTTGCATATTTCAGGGGCTGAATTCTTCTATTGCTGTTCTAGAGGAAAAACTTACTATCAAACTTATATTTCAGATTCCACTTTTAAGTAGGTCTTTTTCAGACAGTATGTTTCTAATTAAACTTGCCTCAAAGACTCAGAAGTCTTACCATATTAATTCTGCTGTCTTCAATATCAGGCGAGAAGGTATTGGGATTCGAATTCAGTGGGACAAGCAAAGGCGCGCCTCCTTCATAAACAGGTGGAACCCGTGGTCCACAAACATCCCATACGTCACCTTCACCGAACACCCAATGGCAGATGCTGATGAGAAGATTGCATCCCTTTGCCTAGTAAGGACATCACCTCTCCTCTTCTAGACAGCTTGCTGATCTCATAGGCTGCATAAGACTTAGATTATTTCAAAAAGATACAGCAGTTACATCAAATCGAAGCTGTTAAATCACAGAGACAGAACTTAAAGCTGGAAGCTGCATTTCCCCATTCTCCAGATTTTGACTTGCAGGGCAGCCCAGCTGTCAGTTTTTGCCAGCTCCCCATAAATGGTTTATACAAGGAGGAGGCTGAAACTTCCAGAAGCAGGGAGTGCTGTAAAACCCAGAAGAAAATGGATCTTGGTGCTATTCCTACCCTTACTTACCCGACAGGCCAATGCCTGACTTTTCTTCTAGGACTGCCAGCTAAGTAAACAAATAGTTTAATTCCTAACTGTAAACTTTCACTTTGGTGGTTCTCAGTTTTTCTTTCAATAGTTGCTTTCCTCTGAAGGCTTCCTTAAAAACAGAACACTATGGTAATTTAAGTTCAACACATCAGTGATAAGGGCAGGAGAACTAGTCAGAAGTAAACAATATTAGTTACTGATACATCTTTACACATCTAGCCCATGTGTTTAAGTTACATGTAAACAGTGTCCTGGAATGAAGTTGACTGTATTAAGGTTAAATGTCAGAACATAAAGTTTATCATGGCATGTGAGATCCCTGATAACTACAGCTTTAGTGTTAATCTTTTAAATTCAACATCAGCAGCTGTTTACATAACCATTTAAAAAAAAAAATGGAAAATCAAGGTAATTTTTTTCTTTCAGTTGGAAAACTTTAAAACTCAGCTAATTCAAGCTGTGAAGAAAGCCCATAAGGAGTCTCCGTTGCCGGGAAGGGCTAATGGTGTGCTAGTGCTGGAGCGTCCTCTTCTGATCGAGACCTACCTGGGATTGATGTCCTTCATCAACAATGAGGCCAAACTTGGCTACTCCATGACAAGAGGCAAAATTGGATTTTAAAATTCATTGCATTTAATTTTTTCAAGGGGAAGTGACTCGCTGTTGGTCTCCTGGGGAGAGCACGCTGTGTGGCAGAATACTCAATAATCAAAGTGAAAACATTAGGGGAATGAAAGGGGGTGGGTGTAGATCTAACGGTTCATGGGAGGCCCTGGTTGTTGTGGTCAGGTCAGATTAATCTGAAACAGACACAAGGTAGTGTCATTCTTGTATTTTGCATCTAATTTACAGTTCTTACTGGTTCTTATACAGGGCTAGCAAGCAGTGGTGTTTTCCATTTCTGACTACATGTTCTTCCCGGTTAATTAAGTGCGATTGGCATCTGCCACAAACACTCCACACAAATATCCAAGATGCAGTAGAAATGTTCATGCTGTTTTCCAGTTGTATCCCTAGATACGGTGTTAAATCATGTAGCGTGCTTGGGATTGATTTGTATTGTTTAAAGAGGTATTAGTGTTCACAATTACAGTAATCTTAGCATTTTGATTAATGCCTGTTAAGAATTTTGAAATCTGTTGTCAGTCATTCTTCAGCAAAAGTCAGCAAATTTTGTTAAAGCTGTACTGTTAGGTCTGCTCGGACGCAGTGTACATGAACTACTACTTTGTAAACTGAAGTATATGGCTGAATATGCATTTATTAGCTTTTTGTAAAAATACCTCCCTCTAAGAACTGAGTCTAACTTCCTAGTTTCTTATGTATGTTTTCTTGCTGCAGCCTTAGAAGACTCTTTTGAGAGAATATCACCAAAAGCCTCACAAACACATTTGCCTTCAAAGCTATTATTTATAAAACTGAAAAGAAATTCTATTTTGATTATATTCTCAGCAATTTTTTTTAAATCTATTCTAGTTTGGGACAGCAGCAGTGCAGGACTTTTTAATGGAGACAGATAAAACTAAGCAGTATATGTCAATCTTGATTTATTTGTTCTTGCACTTAACCTCATACAAATGTCCAGTAATGAAATTCAGAAGCAGCGTAAGACACTACAAATGAAATTGCTCATGAGGTTGCTCTAAGAAGCTTTTTCATTCTGTATGACCTTCTATACATGCTGTTTTATCAGAACATTTATCTGTGCAACTACAATGCTGAATGACTGCTGTGCTGCAGTGGTGCTTTTTTGAACTTAAAGTAGATGTGTGTTTATGAAGTTTATGTAAAGCTGAAGTTGTGATGGAATGCAACAAGTTGCATGCCCCTCTCAGTGCATTTTGTAAGATACCTATTTAATTTTCATTAATCTTGCAGTAAAGTTAAATTTCAACTCAATTTTTTCTTTGCTCTTCATTTGTGGAGTCCAGCTGCTCTTCCCCTGCTGACCCGTCCACTCCAATTTGGCACTAGATAGATAGGTCAAAAGCTCCCATTCTGGTGTCCGTAATACATCATTCTAAAGTATCAGTTCTGGTCCTCCTTGTAAAGGTTCAGTATAATAAATCTATGGTAGACCAGGCACAGTTACTGTCAGCTGTTAACTTTGCTTTTCCAGACTAAGATGTTATTACAGATGACTTAATTAGCTTTCTGAACAAAGAACTTGTTTTGCTTTAACAGTAATTGATTGGCTAGAAAGTGTCTTACTGATAGATCTACTTCTGCTACAATATTTAATTCTAACACACCAGAAAAATCTGTTGTCTTACAAGTCTAGATATAAGCTGTACACTGTTGTGTGCAAATAACTGTTTGCTTGTGCTGGGAAAAATAGCTACATAATCACATCACTGATAAAACAGACTTTAGAATGGAGAAGTGCAGGTTTATAGTTAGAGTCAGACCAAGTTTGTAACTATCAAAATATTTATTGGAAGTTATAAAATTTAAATAACAGCTATACATTATATACACACAGCTACAGTTTTAGAAAATGAAGTTTCATAGTTGACAAAGTTCAAGAGAAAATTCAACTACATCAATACTGAAGTTTTCCTAAGATCCAGACTTCATTCTCTATACTTTAGTTGCTACATCACTTCATTCAAATGCAATCACAGTACTTTACACACTGGAGTTCAGGTATGCTCCTTCAAATAAATAATTTATAAATACAAAAACTTCAGACTGGACAACAGAGTTTGACCCCTTTCCTCACTCTTCCTCAAGCTTGTGAGCATTTTTAATGCAAATGCTTATTATTTTACCTCTTCTCTTTCTAAATAACACACACAAAAGTTGTCCTTACTCAGAAGCACCATGGAGTCTCCACTAGAATGCCAGGACAGAGACACAATCTGGAAGTCACCTGCAGAAACAGATCAGAGTTTGTCAGCAAGAAGCTGACAGTCCATCCTCTTACTCTAGGAAAAGGTAGCTGGAATAAGACACACACATTGCAAAAAATACCCTCCCCACCTCAGAAACCTTAAGAGGGTGTTCAGTTTTGTTACTGCTACAGTAGAGCCAATATAAGCTGCATTACTGAGTCTTTCCCCCAAACCTACGGGTACTTTGTACTCCATATACAAGCACAGAATTTGTAGACTTGTAATTTTAATGCAAATACATGCCACAAGATTGTTCACTGGTGTAGAGCTGCATACACTGATGCTATTGCCACTCCTTGCGTAGAGAGGAAAAAGTTGAATCTTTGTAATTTCTTTTCTGTTTAATACACAGAAAGGCATTTATGGGATCTAGCTAATGGCCTTGTATCAGTTACGGCAAACCATAAAACTTCTCATCACACAGGCTGACTTAGAGTTCAGGCTCCTGTGTGTTCTTCTATCTTTCCACATCAGATTTACCATGCGCATTTTTCCCCATTAGGGTTTTGTAGTTTAGTTCTTTTCAGAATGCCCAAAACCATCATGGGTGTTTCAGTCTTTATATCAACACTCTGCCTTCTGCGCAACTACAGTTTCTATGTAAATAAACTGATATAAATCTTGAGAAAGAATTCAACATACCATACAATTAAAAGCAACAATTAATTAAATCATTGTTAGTCCCTGTGCTCTGTCCTTGATGTATTTTATCATGTTTGCTGTGTCTCATTATGAGCTCCTCTTTTTTGAAGAGAGAAACACCTGTGTTCTTGGAGCTTTTTAAAAACATCTGAGCCACACTCGGACCAATTTCTAAGTGGAAAAATACTTTGTAAACAAGAAGCTGATGATGGCTTGGGGAAGTTGTTGCAGGCAGCCTTACCTTCTGTTGGAACCTGCACTGACACACAGCCAGCTGGGGACCACAAGTAGACTTTGCTATTTCCTGTACATACAGCAAGTCGAGGTTGTCGTGGATCCCACTGGAAAGACTGGATCGCACACAGCTGCTCTAAGACTACAAACAGTTTCAGCTTTTGAATGTCCCAGATCCAGACAGCGTTAGGAATGTTATCTGTCAGAAGAGGTAATCATGTAAATACCTGAAGGATAAAAAGATGACACTTTTTTTTTTTTTTTGAAACAAACAAGCATTAATTGAGGTCTAACACAACACAAACCATTTAGGCGCACCACAGGTTTAACATCATTACTTTTGCCTAGCAGTGCCTTCAATTTTGCCTTGGAAATATTGCAAAAAGGATAAAAAAGTGACTTAGTTTGTCTTCCAGTCCTTCACTGGCTTTTATCAAATTATTCACAGTGATGCTGCTGTTAATGGGTTTTGTGTCAGAACTACAGCTTTTGCATCCAGACATAAACAGCCCTTCAGGACCAAAGGGAAAGATTAAACATTAATTTCATGATTTTAACTATTTGAGGTTATCAAAAGAATTCTGCCTTTCAAGAGACACTTGCTGTAAATGGAGGAGGAAAGCTTTGTGTATTTCATCTTCTAATATAGTAAGCTCACATACATTTGAAGAAATATAAAAAGCATACTATTTTCATTAAATACAAAGCCAAGACCGAGTTAACACACTGATAAGCGGTTCTGGCAGCTCACGATACTTTACGTACGCTAGAGGAGATAGGTTGAATTTCCTCCATCGTTCTGTGTGTACACATCAGAGCTGATTTTAAACAGGGCCGTGAGTCTTCTCATGGTACAAAATAACTGACCAAATATTGTCCTCGTTTCTTTTATGAAAACACACCATATACAATGAGTAGGTTTCCCCTTTAATATAGGGCAGTAGGAACTTACCGTTTTTGGTTGCCAGGAAACAGTTATCTGGACTGAATGCCAACATCCCAATTCCCATTTTGGGATTCGCCCTGTCAGCAACTGGTTTGATATAGTGTAAAGAAACTGGCACCTGGGAAATGTCATCTGGAATTTGAAATAAGTGATAGGACTTTATTTTACTCTTCTCCAAGACATTCCAATCAAAAACTTCAATTGTTTTAAGATATTGCATCTTAGTGTAAGCAGCTTACTATTCTTGCCCTTCTACAGAAAAAGAAACGCTGGAAATCCTGGCAACTCTGAGATTAAACTATGAAAAAAAGGAGAGATCAAATTTTACGCTACCTTTTAGCTATTATTTGAAACGAACACTGATGGAAACAAAGGTGATTTACAGTACCACAAACAATGAGACAGTAAAAAAAAAACCACACCAAAAAAACAGAAAACAAAAGTACTAATCATACATTGTCTGCCATCTCTTTAATATTTCAAAGCCTGTTGTCTGGAGGCAAGTTTAAAGCATTGCTGCAACTACAGCTTCTTACACAAAAGCCAAATGGCCATTTTCATGTTTTGCTTTTTTACATAACCTCATACCTAAGGGATTAATTACTATCCTAAAACAGACAACAAGACTGTAACATCTTCTGATTAAATATTTTAAAAAATTATTGGAACTGCCACACACTTTGATAAGATTCTTAATTGCAATAGTTCATCCGATTCTAGCAATTATCTGCCACAGTTAAACTTAAGTCATGAAATAACATTGCATAGATTAAACAAAACAGAAAAAAAATCCACACAATGTTAAGGCAACTTTTGCAAGCAACTCCAAGACTGAGATCTGGCTGCTATTTCTACACCCAAGCAATTACAGTTCTTGTCTACAATATCCCATCAGTCTTTAACCTGCCTTCACACCACCATGCAGACAGCATCCCCTCTAGCAGGGTGCTTACTGCCCTTGGAGTTCTTCAGTTAATTTGGGAGCCTTGAGCATCCAGAGGATCCATTCCAGTATCAAAGAGGCAGAGTTCACCTATAATGTTTATTTATAGCAAGACTTCACACAGCAAACTCAAGTGTCTCATTTTAGTAAACTTTGGCTTACATTTACTTTGTGTGCTGAAGAGAGAACTAGCCAATGCTCTTGTTGGAGGGAAAGAAAGTCTCTCTGTTTCAGTAGATGGGGATTTCTCCACTTCTTTATACACAATCTACAAAGAAACAAGTGAGAGTTCTACAGAAGGGCCTTGGAGATTTTGAACATGGGCTATTACCAAATCATCTACATCCCACTAACTCATTTTCAAGTGTATCATATCTAAGCGTCCCCAAGTTCATCAATGGAGAAAAGGGCTTCAGTAGGCAAACATCAAATCCAGCATTCTCAGTGAAGCATTTGCTATTTGGAACCATGATTAGGAAAATGCTCCTGTGACAAATAAATGAACCTTGAAGTCTGCAAAGAATGAGTCTGCCAGAGTACACCTCATTCGTTATTCCTGAGAGCTAGATCTGGCAGTACAATAAATCATCTTCATTACAATGGGAACACAGATTTCATTTTTTGCAACAAAGAATCTTTAATCAGATACTATCATAAATAAATGCAAGCAAAGGGCAACACTGCAGAAGGAAATAGCAAAAATATTTTAATAGTGTGCCTACAACATATTATTCCCAAATGCAAACACCAGGATAAAACTCACCAACTGCATTCCTGTCTGTGTAATCGAGATTAACAGAGCTATTTCCATTTGTTTTCCATTACATATTTTACACCTAACTGGAAGTAAAGGCATTTTTCAGTCATGAGAAGTTTTGCTGAGGTGCATTTAATGGATCATGCCTTGCTTCTGGTTAAGAGGCATCCGCAGAGTCATGTGAATATTGCAGACTTAGAGTCTACACATGTAAACTCTTACAGGATATCTGTCCAGACGCAAGACTAGTCCTTCCTCTGCAGTGACATGCAGCACTACTACACTGTGTGTTCTTTTTACCTTGACGGATGAGAACAGCTTGCGATTTTTGGAACAAAAGCTACAGCTCTCTGCTTGCTGCCAACTACCCAGAATCTGTTGGGCCTTGTGTATACATGTATGCAAGGATAAAAATAAATGATGACAGATGTTTACAGGAAATGCTCTTTAGGTGAGCTGGATGAGCTCGTACATACAAGATGTAAATCTGATCACAATCCAGTTCCAACGCTGTTTAAAGTCATGAATTGTATAAAGCTGAGACAAATCTCTCCTGTTAAGTTTCCCAGTTTGCCATCACCCGCATACCCAAATCTGTAACGAAATCACCATCTACATCAAAATACACTCGCATATGACAGAAGTCATCTGAGAATCTATCAATGCTAAAGCTGAGAGCACCATATGCACATATTCCATCGAACTTGAAAGGATTCCTCTATTTTTCTTACATCCCCAGATTTTGCATGCAATTTCCCAAGCCCTTTTTACACATTAGGAGGGGGAAAAAGCAAGGTTTCCAGAATGAAACGTATTTACTAGCATCTTTCAGATACAAATAGCAGCGTCAAAGAGATGCTAATGATTCAATGGATTTTGGAATCCTACTTACAGTCTTTGTGTTAGCAATGGTTGCTGGATGCTCAAACTCGGTGATCTTCTTCCAAGTTACATGGTTCAAGATACGCACCTAATTCAAGAAAGCATTGCAAGATACAACTGCTATGGTCAAGTTCTACAAATGGTTCAGATAAAAGAGAGAAAATAAACCTATTTCATACCTTTTCATCGTAGCTGCCAATTGCCAAAAATTGACTGCTGGGACTCCAGGTGATTGATTTTACGCCTAGTGACCATTCATAAGCTCGATACGTGGATAGTAGTCTGCCATCAAGGGAGTACAGCAATATTTTATACTGAAACATAAATAGATTAACTCTAAAGACTAACAATATTGTTAAAAGCCATAGACAGGTGAAACCATTCCTTCCAAACTCTCCTTGCTTAAAAACCAGCAAGTTAAATACAAAGTGCATGGTCTCTTATCTGTGACTTGAGACAAGAGGCTCTAGGCTTCCAGTTTGGCTCTTTTGGCACGCACAGAATATGTCCACCCTGTCCGCAACAGCACAAATGCTCCACTGGGCCTGAGCAATGGCCCAGCCAACCCAACACTCTTCAACAACATCAGCAGCAGATGCCATCAGGGAAGACTCCCATGCTTCTTCAGCACCTGCAAGCCATCTGATTAGGGACGTTACAACCCTGCGTGTTTCCAGGGCTATTTGTTTTGATCATGCTGCCCATAACTTTATGGCCACAGGAGGACACTTCTCTATGCCTAGAAGTTCACCTACTCAGAGCAGAAAGGATAGCAATTTCTATATTCCTTGCTAACTTTCTGGACGAGTACTTTTACTTAACTGTAAAATTACTGTGCAATGCAATGTAAAGTGGTAGAACAGTCTTACAGAAGAAGTCTTTCATTATTTTTTTCATTATTTCAATAGTGGCTTCTGCAATGTTTACAATCAATTTTTTTCCAATACAAATTAGAAAGCAAGCTAATAAGATAATTTGCTGTCATTTACATAGCGGTTTGGCATACATTAGTAAGGACATCAATTACCAATACAAGTATAATATTTAAAATGGTTTCAGTTCAGCTTTTGTTATGTTTAAAAGGAAAAAAAAACAAACCACCCCACCACTGGTTATTTTAGTTACTGCTTTATACATGGCGGCTACAAACCAACTTGAACTCTCCAAGAAAATAATCTGCTTTTTCCTCCTACCTCCAGACAGGTATCCCACACTGCCAGAACACAGCCATTAGGAGCCCATTCAATCCCAAACAGATCTTGCGTTTCAGTGTCAAAATGCTGCCCCCAAAAGATAAGAAAACCAACATTTGAGATATTATACTAACAAATACTGTTGCATTTGACCTAACATAGAAGGATAAAACTGAGGACTAAGTGCTACCACAAATGCAAAAGAGCCTTTTGTATGCTAGCATAGAAACAGAAATATTTTCTTTTGTAATAGTATGCTGTGTTTACTGTTTCTTTGGTTTCCCTTTACAGATAAAGCAAAAAGTTGCTATACCTTAAAACTAACAGCTTTTCCTAAGAAAAAAGTAGTTACATTGAATCAGTCAAGAAATCTAGTTAGACTAATTCCTTGCCTCAGAAAGACCAGTACAAGATCATTAGGGAAGAGCCTGGGAACATGACAAGCATTTAGTGGTATTTCCCAAATCTTGCTATCAGCTTCTAACGAGACTCAGAATTCCTGAACCAGAGGTGACACCACGTACAGACTAGTTCTTAATGGGTTTTAATTTCTCAGATCCATCCAGTCCTCTAAGACATGATCGTGTGCATCCTTCACAGACTAGTCTCTTTGTTAAATGGAAAATATGACAACTTATATTATACGTTCCAAATGATCACTTTATCAAGCATTTGATACTTTCATTATTAACAATGTAGCATAGTTTATTGTTACTAAGCTCACGCAAGAATTTAAAGGTGGAACTTCTGCATTCCATCAGAAATTCTTTATGCACATGTAGTATATATTGGCCTCCTGAACAGAATACTGCTATGGAAGGAGACAGATGCTGGATAGAAAGTGCATTGGCAAGTCTAAAACCAGACTACCAAAGTGACTGAGTCTAAAGTAGTGTGCAACATATGCTTGTAGCCTACGCAACAGCAGTGGAAGGCAAGGCCACGTCTTACTCTTAGTAGCTGCCAGTCGCTGCATACAAAGATGCTAATGAAGTCCTTGCAGTCACGTCTTTCTGCTACTGCCATATAGCGGCCATCCTTGGCGAAAGCTATCCCTGCCAATGAGAAAAAGTTAATTTAAAAAAAAAAGATAAAATCAGACAGAATAGCTGGTGATTCTTCAAGGAAAAGCAGTTACTCCCAATTCAAAGAAGAAGTAAAAAAGAAAAGCAAAAATCTTCACAGAAGGTCGCATTAATCAAGGCAATGCATAGCATTACTAATTTGCTTGTGTCGGCAGTTCTTAAACTTTGAATGTAGCATTTCTAAGGATGCAGCTTCACAGATATTGCAGAAATTCAGCATGCTTCAAAAAAACCATGTTTGATTAGTGACAGACAGTTGTTACACAAAACCCACAGATTTCAAATAAACAGTTTATTTAGTCTAGCTAAATGGGTTAGTTATGCAACCATTGGTACTCCACCAACTTCTAGGCTTTGGTCCCCAACCACTGGTACTCCACCAACTTCCAAGCATTGGTCCCCACCTACTCTTATTTTATATGCAATATATAATTGTCTTTGTCATATATGGGCTATTGCTATACACAAGCCTCAGGCAGGAAACTGCTAACCACAGCCATGTGGCTAGACAGGCCTGACACGAGCTTCCCTTTCAAATCTTTTCATGTGTAAGAGAATGACAAAAGCCACTATGGATTACTGTTTTTCATCACCAATGCATCCAGCTTAATTTAATGTCTTAAAGGACCCTTCCAAGGCGAACACAACAAAGCTGCACATTTGAAGAATAGGCACATAGCTCAGATGCAATCCTTCATTCACAGTGAGGATATGACAACCCCAGAGCACATCTTGGTGCACTTGCAGCAGGTCGCACACGGGTACCAATCTCAGAGACATGCATCCCTGAGGGTGAGCTAACCCCTCAGTGGGGAGGGTGTCAGAGCCTGTTCTGAAACATGTGTTTCATCATTACACAAATTCATTTTCCCTTCCTGCCATATTAAAAAAATTCCATTCCTGTGTCAGATTTGTGACACTTACCCTGCTGACAAGCTTTGGGATACTTGATGTAAGATACAGATTTTGTACACAGGGACCACACAGTTATCCGCAGCTGTCACAAAGAGAAAGAGACAAGGAAGTATACGCTTATTTTTGTAGATTAAAAAAAAAATTAAGTAAATAGAAACCCATAAACCTAATTCAGCAACACAAAGCAGATTAATTAACTACAGAAGGCATACTGAACTTTGCAGTTATTCTGTGTAGCTCAAACACAAAGCCCTGAGAAGTAACTGTGAGGAATTCTCTCCCAACTCCTTTCAGTTAGCAAGGTTACTTATTCCAAATTAACGTTACAGGCACATGGCATACTCTTAGATATACTAGATACTCTTAGGTATTAAGATGCAGAACATGAATATGGAGAAAAGCTCTTCATTAACACTAAAGCTACTGATATTAGCATGACTCTAACTACATGATTGCCAATGTAGCGTACATAGACACTTTTCAGTTGGAAAAACAGTTTCATCACAGAATCTGGACGACAGAGGAGAAGTTTCTTGCATTTATGAATGGACGAGAAGTTACAGCAACGTAAGAACATTGTACCTCTTCGGAAAAGGCTCCTGAGTATGAAAATTTAGCTGTATTTTTCAACTTTTAGACACACTCAGCTTTAACAGCTAATTAGCATTTTGCTCTTCCCTCCTCAGCCACACACAAGGCAGCAACAGTACGTAATTACTGAAAGAATTAGAAAAGAACCAAAATATGCTATGCAAAGCAAGGCATTAAACCCAAATCATGTTTGGGGTATTTCTGGAGGCTTCTGCATCCATAAAACACAAAAATTGCAGAGAAGGCAGTCAGCTGCAAAACAAGCCTCTCCACGGCTCTTCAAGGTCACAGCCTGCATTCTGGAAGCTCTGCGTTGCCATCTGCAGATTATTCAATTAAAAACAAATACTTACTCTCCCTTAGCAACAGTAGCCACACCAGACATATGTGCATTAATCAGTATGTCATGTGAACCCTTGCATTTATATCTGGAGTAAGGAATGTTTCCACGGTAATTTTTTTCCTTGTGTTTTCCTACATTTTACTGCATCAAGGTAAGAGATTCTAGAAGAGACGCAGGTAAAAAAAATTTTTGCAATAAAGCACCATGGTCATAAAGCTATCTTTGCCAGATCTACTGAACAACAAAAATAGTTCTGATTCATTATATAAGTAAAACTTCAGCACCGTCTACCGTTTCATTATCCTCCTGCATCAGATGCAGACCATCAGCATCACCAGCAGTCTTGGGAGGAAGTTTCTGCTACACTTCTTTGCATGTTTATCCTCAATGCGCATTTTCCTTCCCAGAAGTAACTGGTATTATTCAATGGTGACAAAGGACTCCAAGGTAGCATCCTATGAATCTGTTCTACCCGGTAACACTATAGACTGTGCGTTGCAACAGAACTTGGAGATTTTTTCATTGCTGACGCTATCATTTTTGCCAGAAAGCATGATTCAAGTAATTGACATGGTGTTCAAACCAAGCTTCGGAGTCTTAATAAATGCTGCATCCCTCCATACGTGGAGTCCCAAAGCAAAAGAGCAGCATTAGCTGTTCTCCCTACTGCTTTTTATATACAGAAGAAGCTTTTGAGATTTTAAGAGACAACACAGAAATCAGGTTTTTTAATTTATTACAGGAAAGAGCACAACCAGATCAGGTTCCAGTCCAATACCACTACAAATAGTGTTTATTATTGTCTCCCTTTATTTTACAGGTATGAAATTAGAACTAGACATCTATAGTACCACCTTTAAGTTTAGCACGTCCTAGAGGGATCCACTAGATGAACAACATTAATCAAGTTTTATCATTGCAACTGTTCACTTCCGGACATACAAAAATATGGCATTGTTAGTCTGCTCTTCATGCAAGATTTACTTTAAAAATACCAACACAATGCCTACTCACATTCTTCTATAGCAACTGCAATAGTGATATGCTGCTTGCTCCTATTAATTGCAGCGTTAAATGTACTTGCTGCTGTTCCTCCCTTGACCAAAACACGCAACATACACAACACGCATTCTACAGCCACTAATACAAGCTTAGCAGCTGCAAGCTTTGAATGCTGAGGTCTAGATCGTAATTTTTCCTGACAAAGGCATCCAAGTTTACACTTGTGCTGCTACTTGGCCTCATAATCAACTCACCTGGCCTGCTGTGCGTCAAACATTTCTGGCGTGGACCACATGGGCTGGCTTGGAACCTCAGAACACCGCAAAACCTTACTGCTCACATCTAGTTCAAGTACATAGGAAGAGGAAAATCTCTAGAGGTGAGAAACAGCACATCATGGAGCTCCGTCACCTCTGCCTTGCCTGAGGTTCCACCACAGAAGAAAAAAGGCAAGTACACCTTTGTTTTGAAAAGTCTTCCCGCATCCATCTCCATCCTTGTGTGCAGTCCTCTGCGGTTCAAATAGAACCTTCTCTAAAAGGGTCATTTTGTAACTCCCCAGAGAAGACACTAATAATGGTTTCCCTGTTTATTCTTGTCATATTGCATTTCACTGCTGAGGATGCACTTCACCGACACTGAAAGTTTCAGTAACATTAAACACGGATATTGTTGGAGTAGTACTGTATTGTCCCATATACCTCCCCAACACATCATTTCGAACATGTATGGCATAAATTGCAATAATGCCATTGCAGTACTGGAGAGAGACTACAGAACACAACCAACACACACTCATGGGATGTTTACACCCAGTCTACAAAAAAACCCCACAAAATACACCTTTGAAAACACAGACCTATTATTATACCGGATGCCTACAACCCTTTGATAACCAAAGCCCTTCATCTTCAGACTTGATCTAAATCAGTCACACACACCCATAACAATAAAATCAACTTCAGTCTCCTGAAAAGGCTGCAAGGGAGCAAGGGAAGCACACAACTGCAAGTCGGAAACCACGTATATGCTCTGCCACAACTTCATTGCAACCTCTTGCCCACATCACACAACACATAACCTGCAGGTTTTGGCCTAGTGTTAGAAACATGTAAAAGCAAACCATTTTGATTCCTGAAATTGGGATTCTTTTCAGTTGTTCTATTTGTGTACACTGAAACATTTTTATAAACTGAGAAACAACCCCATGCAATGCTACAGGC